TCTATCTTTCTTATCGAGAATAGTTATAACATCAAAACCAGACATATTTATCACTTATAGAGAATATTATATTTAGCAGTTTTAGTATTTTTGACCTATTAGATTTGGTTCTTTATAGTATAAGAATATATGATTCATTTTTAGTACAGATCTCAAAGAGCCCCCCATAGGACCTGGGGATTATTAGATGAGTTATATATTCATCATATTTGTGAGTGATATAATGATGAGAATGGGAGAGATCTATATGAATCTAAAGATTCGCCCTTTTAGGATGATTGTTACATGTATACTAATTAATTTCCCAGTGTAACTTAATACTCTATTATATGTCAGCGAAACAAAAGACAACTTAGCATATAATAATTAAAAGATCAGATACTAATTATATCTTTAATTTTTTTTTAAAAATAAATATATTGAGAGTTAGAGATCGGCTAAGTAAAATATAGAGAAACAGGATTTCAAGAGAGGAAATCTGCCAAGTTCTAACCCATATGATGACAGTTTCTTTCCCACTATTCACTATCTAGATTATTTATTTTACTATCAATCCATAAACTAATTTGATCTAAAGTACTAATATAACCATTCTTCTTTTTAATATTTCTCTCATAAAACCCTTGTACTATCACCTTCTTAATATTTTCTCCTAATGAACAAATATCCATAGCTACAGAAAGACACATCTCCTCTAAAGTATAATTATTTTTGGTCATGATCTGATCAAAAATTTGCTTAAATTGATTCCAAACGGTCAAACTAATACCCGTAAATGTTAATTGTCTCAAGCTTGCAGAGGAATGATTTGAAGCTTGACCTGTGGAATAATTTGAAGCTTGACCTGTAGAATAATTTGAAGCTTGATCTGCAGAATGATTGAAAGCTTGACTCATCACATTTTGTTGATCGAATTCAATCTCTTCAGTTCTTAGAATCATCGCATAACATTGATTTATTTCACTTTGAAGAGTTACGATAGAGACATTGATTGATTCAAATTTGGTTGTGACTCTGCCAAAATTATTATGGTAGTTTTGAAGAACTTGTTTGATCTTATCAAGTCTCACAGTAGAAGTATTAAGTATTGTCAAGATTCTTTGGATTTCTGCTGTAAAGTTTTTATCGTATGAGATGAGTTCAGCATTAAATTTGGCATCATGATTGGCAAGAATTTCATTAAATGTCATATCATGTGCAGAAGGGTCAGAATTATGCTTAGTGTCGATATCTTTCTTGATGATATGTGAAAAATAAAATATGACACCAATGAGCAAGTAAATAGAGATTTTCTCAATGAATATTGATAGGCCTGTGAAATCCAAAAATAGAGCGATCCCCAAAACAGTAAGTGATATCATCTATAAGTAGAAATTGGTCATATTAGCATACATACATGAATACAGGGGAGTGTCATAGCATATAAACAAATAAACAAACCTTAATTGTTAGAAATTAGATATTATTTCAAGTATATGAATCTTTTTATTTATTATGAGTAAGATTTATTAACAGAGCAAGCAAAGTGCTAAAAATTGTTAAATGTTTTATTCTCTAAAATTGCTAATTATTATAATAAAAGAGTAAAGGGGTCTCAGATATTTTTTCTTCATCTTTTTATATAAAAAAATTACAAATCAGAATTTATTTATAGACTTAGATGGAAAAGGACCAGAAATTACCAGAACTTTTTATTACAAAGCAGATCTATAGGGATGACTCAGGTATATTTTTTCAAATAAGAGTCATAGGTACCTCCGCACTTTACCTGTCAATTAGATCAATAATTATCTACTCTTATCTTATTGATATTAACAATTGGACGTCTGTTACTCATATCACCAACTTCAACAATTATTACAAATCAATTAATCTTTTAACTAATCTAATTAATTTCTTTTTATAATAGACTCACCTTCAATCTGCATTCTTTAATAATGAAAGTACCAAAAAGTATCTCACAGATTTATCAATCACTTTTGCTAGAGTTAATGCGTGACTTGCTAATTGTTAGAGTACTGATTGATTGCATAATATAGATATTCGATTAATACATCACATGCTATATCACAGAATAAAAATGAAAATTATGGAACTTTTCATGCATGATGTAATCATATAACCTTCTGACTACACAAAAAACCAGATTTGAATATTTTCTTTGTAAAGAATGCTTTCAGAAAGAAAAAATACAGATTCTTTTAGAAGGAGAGTATAATTTTGTCTTCATTTATAATTGTTTTTATTTTAATTTCATATTTGTTAAACTTCGTATAGAAATAGAGCAGGATTATAAATACCTCGGTTAGAAGAATTTCAGTGTTGAATATTTGGTGAATAATTGTGACAAAGTTAGAAAAGTACGCTTTGCTTTATGGTTCAGTTATACAATTAACGTAAATAGCAGGTAATATAGTTCTATGAGCAACATATTTCAAATATATAAGCTGGCTTGCGAGAAAGCTTTACATCATTTTGCCAAATCTAGTAGTATTTTACAAGATACTTATGAAGAATTTTTCAAGGTTTCTGATGTATGTATTATTTTTTATCTGTCTATAATATTTTATATGATGATATTCCATCTATTCTGAGAATCAATTTCACATCACCTTCTCACACCTGAGATTTGGGCCCTGATAATTGTTCGTGGTGTATGAAGAAATCAGAGATCTGATTAAATAAGAGTGTTGAATAATAAGCGGAATATAGAATTTTCGTATATTAACTCCTTTATTTTTATAGAACAAATAAAGAACACAATATATATCAATAGTAGAGGCTATGGAATCAATAGTTGGTCAAACTACTATAATTTTGTTTTAGAAAAACTTATTACTGATACTAATATATTTTATATGTTTCAGGTTTCTCTTAAATTCATAAGTCCAACAGAGGAGAATCTTGTCTTTTTAAACAAGAAAAAAATTGGAAAACAATTGATAACGCATTCATATTATGGGAGTTATGGTTTTTTTTTGCTTGTTCTTACTCGATACTTCTGTAGAATGATTTAATCCAAAATGAAACATCTCATTCATTGCTATTATATGAGTTAAGAGACCTCTTTGAATTCTTCGATGCCAGCAATATTGAATAGAACAATCCACTCAGCTTTGATTGTATTATTAATCGAAATTCAGACATAATTTTTGGAAAGTTGCCAGAAGAACAAAAGAAGAATTTGAGAAAAATTATAAATTTGGCATATGATCAATACAAAACAAGCTCCGTTATTTCTGACTTGGTTAAAGTCCTTTTAGAAAAATCAAAGAGCTTGAATAAAAGGGAAATGATGGTTTCACTCCTATCTATACCAGCGGATTTCCAAGGAAATGATGAGGAGTTTGAAGATATATATGTGATGCATAGGATCATAGACTCAGTATAGGTAATTAAGCTTCTCTGTCTTGATAATTAACCAATTTCTAATACTCTTATTCTTATAGCCAACATATCTGGTGCTACTTTAACGATGAAAACAAGGCTGAATATACTGAGAAAATATATATCATCCGCATAGTGTTCAACTTTCTTGATTCACTATTTTGCTATGAAAATACCAAACTTAAAATCATCTGATAAAGTTTTAGATAATGTGTAAAATATGAATTTTTACCAGAGACAGTCACATAATGACTATAATAAGTTTTACATACATCATAACAGAACTGAAGAAGTCTCGGAGATATCTCAATGTCAGATGGATGATTCTGAAAAAATCAGAATTGGACACAAGCCTGATTTTCATGTGAAATCTTCACTGATTGTCAGTGAAGTGGAAATCTGTCTTATGGAGGTCTCATGTGTTCTTCCAACTGATAAAAAGATCTGTGATGATTAGGATAAGTTGATCAAGCTTATGAAAGATGCTCATGTATGATTACTGAGAAAACTCACTAGAGGGAGGGTTGGAGACGTAAAGAAAATAGAAGAAGATCTTAACAGGATGCCAGTTTTTGGTATCCAAGTTGCTGGTATGTAATATCATAATTATTTTTTTTTTCACTCAAAACTAACTATTTCTACTTTAGAAGAAACCATGGCATGTTGGGTTATGACTATGCCATTTGGAGCCTTTTACTTTGTTCAACGTCTTGGTTCAGTGCAAATTCCTATGAATCGAGACCAATCTTCACTTGCCAGATTTATGGATGAATTATGGAAATTAAGGATAAGGCTATTGAATGCGGAAAGTTAGATAAACAAACTCCTGATTAATTAATAGAATTATTTATAGGCATCTCTATGAAACCATATTCACATCCTTACTAAGATTGTAGAAAAAGTCAATGCGTTCTTATATAACATAGCTTTTTGTTTATCACAAGCTCAAGAAGATGTGTCCCTTTACGATGGTAAGTTAATAACACCACAATCACCATAACAAGATCTCACCAATCCAGGTATTAAAAAAAACAGTAAACCCCCTCTACCATTAGGTTTCCACCCAATAATAGGTAAGTATGGAAATATTGTATAAATTAACATGTATTTTTATTGTATCGGTCATGGCTTTGCTAATAAAGAATTCGAGTTGAGAATATTATATATTATGTCAATATTTTCATGTGGTGTGTTTTGTATTGGGATAAAAAAGTTTATACGTCGATTTTTCTATGCCTTGGTATGAGCTTCGCTCTTAATGTGATGCATGGAACATGATTGAGTATCGAGTTGTACATTCCCGAAATAAATTATGTAACGACCTAGATATAGAACGACGCATTATCAATAAACCAGCTATCTTTCTATCGCTCGGCTATGTATGTTCCACGAGACACGGAGTGGCATTTCTCCGAAATACTTCTATGCTGATCCGATTGGTTAATAATTTTCCGGTTTTTTAATTATTCTGATTGGATGGATCACACCGGAAATTAGCAGGAGGCTATTGGGTAACCGTCGTATACATACCCTTACCGATTACATTCCCACGTTCTTTTCGCGAAAGTATACGCTATTCGTCTTGAGTAGGACATCGGCTCCTCACTTCGTGAGATGGCTCGTCGGATAATGTTGCTTTTGTTCTTTTCCCCCGTATATTAGTTAATACACTGTAAACTTGGTAATTATGTCATCCAACAATAAGGGAAGAGAAGAAACCGCCATATCGGATGTACCAGCTACGAAAAGGAAATTATCACGATGCCTCTGATATAATAAAAACAAGAAACTCAAGTGGGAACAAGAGCATGCTGAGATATCTTACAAATCGGAAGACGTACCATCGATTCTGATATTATCTTCAATCCGCTAAGGGTATAATATTTTTTTATCTTCGAATTGGTTACCTTTGTACGAAATTTAGTATAGTTCTCTGTTAGGTTGCATTTGTGTTGATAAGAGGGTTGCGTAGCTATTTGTCGCAAGTTTACTTCGGTAAGTTGTCTGATCGAACATGCACACAATTTCCTTCCAATTCGGTTGGTTGCTTAGCACTTTGGTTACGCGACTCGTTCGTTCCACAAATGTGTCTTATCAGAAGAAAAATCTCTGTAGTAAATTAGTTAATACAATATTTTGATAATGAATAGCACCGAACTCAACATGCAATCCGTAACCTATCTCACCGTGATAAAGCTTATTATTTGAAGGAGTGGATAAGTGTTCCTCTCTTTTTCTCTGATCATATATCCTCTAAAGAAAATAAAACTCAACGGAATATTTCAGCACGAGAACTATTGATTGAGATGTTAATTAAGGAATCAAGATCCGACCCAGCTAGTAATTCTCTCGAATCAACCGAAATCCCTGAAATCTCGAAATGCTCAATCTGTACCAAAAATATTTTAGTAGTTACTTATAAGACATTTACAATACTCGAATGTGGGAACGTCTTTCACAGAGTTTATATCGAGAAAAAAAATTATGCATACTGCACCATCTAAGTTTGGATATGTAGGATTTCAGGTTAAGAATACTAATTCCGGGGTAAAAATGTGGTGATCACGTGATTATGATGTAACTCGACCGTGACTGCTCAGTCACAGTCTCGAAGTTTGAGACTTTTTTTATGTCTTTAAGCAAAAAATTAATAAAGTAATGTGAACTACTGCGTCATATATTCGAAATGTTTGGTTTACCCGCATCAGGCTTTATCGCAGAGCACTTATATGCAGTGTTGTACATGGGACAGTTGGGACAAAGGTTGGGACAAAAGTTGGGACAGTTGGGACATAGTAAAACTTGGACAGGACATGCTTTGGACATAGTAAATTGGGACGGGACAAATTCGAAAATCCTTTGGACATTCAAAATGTACAACACTGCTTATATGTCTATTTTCTATGTATACGCATTTGAAAAATACATGAATTATCACGTTATGAGTAATATAAAATTGCGGATCTCGAATACTAACTAAAATCCGAAGCGATCCGATATCACTCGTCTCAAATGATCGCCTACCGAGATGCGCGTATTGCAAGTATCGGATTAATCGATTCTCACGCTTTTTTCTCTATTATTACGATGCACTCTTCAGGAAAGCGAAAAAGTGAAGCTTCACTTCTCAGAGATGCGTGCCAGTAGTCACAACTCAGGAGTCATAGTTAAGAAGTCGTCGTCATGACAAAAAAATTAAGTGGATATGTATATTAATTTATTATCGTTATTACATTATTACTTTGGCGTAGAGAAAGAGCAATTTTACTATTCTTGGCTAGTCCGCATATGATTGTGTGATTGATTAAAAATTTGATTTATCATACCAATAAATATCGTTATTATTTTTTATCATGCTCTATAAACATGTCGTTAAACCTCTTCAAGTTCGTTCACGACAAGTGTATTTGTTCTTTTTTTTCTTAATAATTTTTTATAACCGATTTCACATACAGTATCTATATATTGATAATATACAGTGCAAGAAAAGAAACTTCGCAAACTTGCAAAAAAGTGTGGAACGGGTGGGTAGCAGTTAAATTATTTTCCTGCGTGTTGACGTTATAAATCATTAATTGATATTTTGTGTTAGTTCCTGAGAATCTCCCTACAATTCTTCAAAATCCAGATATTGTCACTCTTATTCTCAAATATTTAAAAGGCAAAGATACCGATGACGAAATGCCCGCACTTTTGTTCGATTGGAATCAGGCCGGCTTCAATGACACCAACGTTCCAAATTGCCGTAACGGTGTTGCAGGACAGACCCAAGGGGCTATAATCGCAAACCTCCTTGCAAACGGAGCAACCGATTTTATGAATCTGAACATACTATTCGTTTTTCAAAATGGTCAAGCAATTGGAACTTGGCACAAGAATGTCGCTGTGAATTTGCCTTGGTATGAGATAATTCTATATCTTATATACATTGACATCAGTTTAATCCATTATCCTTTCTTAAAGGGTGAAACATCAAGCTGGTGTTCCAGATATCTGTAACAACCTCTTAAGACTTAATAAGATTACGGTCCACACAGCCAATGTAGATATCGAGGATTTTTCAGGTATCTTGGAATGAAGGAAAAAGACAAGTACTTTTTCTAAATCATATGGTTAATTTACCCCTTCAAACTGATACGAAGAATTACCTTCAAATTGACCGAAGGAATATTCGGTCTCCTTCATTGAGTTGTGTCAAAAATTGAATGAAAATTTTGCAATCAATCCCTAGGTTTTACGCTTCGAGAACACTTTGTGATCCGAATATACATGTATATGAAAAAAAAAATAAATCGTGCTGTTAACATTTTCGCGTAAATGCACTTACTTGGGCTCAAACTCGATATCTAGGGTGCTTTGCGTATTGCTCGTCATCGCGATTCCCAATGTTGCTTGCCTTTAAATCGGCATCACGACCTACCATAATGCGCATGCAAAAATAATTGCCTTACATCACAGTTGATTATACTGTATGTATTCTATCAGGTACAGAAAGTTTCTCATCGAAGATGATATACTTATGATATAGTCGTGATTGTATTTTTTTTAAGTTTTCGAATAAAGTTTGTCTGCGTTTAAGGTTTGTGTTTTTTAACTCGTGTATGCATGAATGTGGGTGTATAAATACATATATACATACTTTATGTGTAACTCATAAATCGAAATTTGAATAGATCTATGCTTTACATAAAAATACGGAAGACAGGGTATGGAAGAGAACACCGAACTCAAGAGCAGAATCGATGAGTTGGAGAAAAATAGGACAGATGCTGTTGCCGAGAACGTTGAACTTAGAGTTAGAGTTGTAAAATTAGAACAGGATATAGATGAACTTAAAAAAGAATTGGAATCTAAGAAAAATCGTAAATTTCAGGAAAAATGTATTCTAATAGCCCAGATACTTCTTAACGAGGAACCTATGGTTGAATATCGACCATCTTTTATGGAAGGATTAGAACTTGATGCCTTCTTCCGAAGTAATAGAATTGCATTAGAGGTTCAAGGAGCTCAACATCGGCTTCATAACACCAGCTGGTATAAAGATGTTAAAAAACTCGAGGATATTGTTAACCGTGATCGAAAAAAAAGAACCTTGTGTCAACTTAACGGGATTTATCTTCTTGAGGTATGGTATGATGAGAATCCAGAAGTCACTATTCCTAAGAAGATATATAAATTTAGGGAGTTTATTGATAGAAAAATCTTCAATCTTGATTAACCTTATATAATGACTTAGCATTATGTGCAATATACATGTATATATAGCCATTCATAAATCGCTATATTTTTTTTCTTTGCTCAAACTGAATATAGTAATTACTTTACTTGTTCAGTATCCTGCCCTATATGCAATAAAGATCATAAAAAAGAAAATATAAGAGATAATATAGAAGGTAGGTGGGATAGTGGTGATTATGTCAATACAAAAACTTATTGTCTCAAATGCTAGAAGGCTTATCAAAATTCAATCCAAATAGTAATGGTGAAAGCGTAAAGCAATAAGCATGTAGGATAAATATGAGATCATGGGCTTTTTATTTGACATGTTCCATGAGACACGGAGTGTCATTTCTTGATTGGTTGATAAATTTCTGACTGTTAATGATTTTTAATTATTCTGATTGGATGGATCACTACTCTGGAGAATAGGTCCTATTACGAAGCTTATTTTTATGATGTTTTCGGATAGGAAAAAATAACCTTTTTCTTTTTAACATGAATATGATTCTTTCGAGATTTTATTAGATCGAGATCATACCAGTCTGAATCTATGGATTCTGAATCAGAGCTGGATAAATTAGTCTCTATAGATAATTTCTTAAACATATCTATAAACTTCTCTAAATTTAAATCAGATTTATTCTTATCAAAGGTAATTATATAATGCTTAGACTTTCTTTTTTTTCTTTTGAGGACAACTACAAAAATTGAATTTAGATGAGAAAATAAAGCTTTAAATTGGAGATTTATCAATTTCTGTTTCAGAATCAGATAAATTATTTTTACTAGAGCTGACTTTATTACTATTTTCTTTAATTAATAGGATACTCATACCATCGATTACAATTTTAGTGTAAAAATCATTGATTTCAGAAGAGAATCTGAAACTTATTTTTGTTTTATGCATCCATAATCAATCTCTCCCTAATACCAAATTAAATGATGAATTTTTGCGAATTTGAAAATCTATTACTTCGGTACTATCTAAGCTTCGCCACTTTCCTTTATACCAAAATTATAAATCTAAGTATTTTATTTTTTTGTCTATCAAATCATCACCGGATATATCTTCTAACCCATAATCTTCTTCAAGCTTATTATATAAGCGCTTGCTAATAGTATTGGATTTAGATGTTATATCGATTAATGCTTTTATTAGGATTTTTCCCTCTACAAGTGATTCTATGAAAACTATGTCAAATATTATTTAATGATGTATAATATAACTGAAAAAATAACTTGGTAAATAATTAACCATTCTTTACTGCTAAATAAAATTATTTGTAACCCACGTTGGAGAATTCTCTCTGAGATGATTAATAATTGCAGAAATAAAATCTGTTTCATCTGATATATGACTCAAATAGTAGTCTCTAAAGATCCTGGTTATAGCTATCCCATTTCATCGACCAGTAAAGATTGGAATAAGTGGAGATAAATCAGAAACGGAAAATTCATTATCGGAATAATCTGGAATAAGTGGAGGTAGATCAGAATCCAAGAATTCATCATCAGGATAATCTGGATGTTTAATTTTAATTTTTGAATTAAGTTTTTTTATCACTTCTTCGCTAATCCCTTTACATCTCTCCAAACTAAGATATTTCAAATTAGTACAATTGCAGGCTATTTCCTCAAGAGCTTTATTACTAATCGAACAATCATCAAACTCAAGATGTTTAAGTTTTGGACAAGAATGCGATATTTTAGTGATACATCAATTAGTAAGATATATACATGAATTAAGACTCAAATATAATAGCTTTGGGTAATATCTTGCAATTTTTATAATTGGTATGTTAGAGAAACTCTTACTTCGATCAAGAATGAGAATGCGTATGTCTAGACATGAGCGTAAAATTGTATTAATTAATGCATCTGAGATTTTTAAACCTTCCAATCTGAGATATAACATCATTGAATAATAAAGAGGTTTTGTCTTTCTACACATAACTTTTTTGAATTTTAATAATTGCCAATAAATAGTCTGAGATTTCTTTTGACCATATGGAGCTCTCTGATAATCTTTGTTGAAAAACTCAACATGATGCTATAGAATAGGAGTACCGCAGTGATACCAAAACTGATTAATAAACAAAGTAGGGTAGAGGGATCGATCAATTTCTAAATAATATAAAATCTGTTCTAGTAATTCTGGTAAATCAAAAATATTTAGACCCTTTAGATTATTACTCCGTAATAGTTATGCCATTTTCAAGTAATATATTATTATATATCTTTAATCGAAAAAATATTTCATGCCTTATGATTATATAAAATCAGATGTGTTAATATGTATCAGAAATACTATATGTAATTCTATTATAAATCCTGATAATTAACTTTACATTTTACTTTACGCTTTAGAATAGGGCATTTCCTTATATCTTCAGTCTTATGTATAACTTTTATTTCCAAACTAGATATGGAAGAACTATCTGAATTGCTGTCTGAAGTAATCAAATTGGAAGTATCTGAATCAGAAAATGTAGAGATATTTAATCTGTAGGACAGTGAATCTTTCAATCTTCCAGGAAGTATTTTGTAAAAATTATAAATATCTCTTTTATTAACAGATACATTAACCCTTGGCTTCTTTTTAGCTTTGGTTGTATCAACTTTCCAACTGAGGTTCTTAATGCGTAAGATGGTTCTTACAAAAGCATTTTTTGTATCTGTTACTATTTCTGGTAAATATGTCTGGATTCCATAATTATTGCGTCCATAGAACCAATTATTACCAAGCAGGATATAATTAGGCATCTTGGGGTCATATTTTTCTACAAGTACTTTAGTCAGAATTGTGATGGATTCATAATTACTAAGATGGTTATTGTTTATTACATTAGAAGTAAAGGTAATTGGAATTATGGCCAATCCAAGTGGAGCTGTGATTTCTTCTCTGACGAATTTACTATCTTTTTCTTCAGAAGTCAACTTTCTGCTAATTTTGCTACCAATTTTCTTGAGAAGTTTATCAATACACATAGAAATCCCCAAAAATTCTGGTTCGAGATAACAATTAACTTTCTGCTCCCCTACTTTAGCTTTAACTATCTTTACTTTTATGGTAAGTTATATTATGTGATATATATATTTAACCAAAAAAAAATAACTAATAATTACTAATTGCAGAAATAAAATCAGTTTTATCTGGGTCTGAATTGTCTAATGATGATGAATATTTTACTATAGATATGGTAAAAGTGAAGAAGCGCAATTAATCTTGATCATAGATATAAAATCATCTTGCTTGCTTATAAGGAACTCCTCTTTTTCTATAATTGACTATAACGTAATTTTGCACAGGAGAAATATGATTATCAGATGAATGACGTAGACATTCTCCAGCAATTGTATAAGCGTGGGCTATATTCTTAGTCTCATGTACTACCATACCATAAACAGCACCCATTTTTTGTAAGTATTTGAGAATTAAATTATAATCTTTTAAGAATTTATTGAACCATTTAACTTCTGGCTTACCTGGATCACCCATTCATTCAGATGATATAGCATGCTGAATCCAAGTAAGTAATTCTTTGGCTTGTTCTTGATTCTTTTCCATAGATTTAAATTTTCTAGAAATATCTGGTTAACCCTGATTTTTTACATATCCTGTTACTCTGGCATCTGTAATATGTAAAGTTATAAGTTCAGCAGGATGAATACAAAGCATCATCATGACATTAGCAAGAGCCCAATAATTAGGTAGAGTTTTTAAATTATACGCGTCTAACCTTTCTTTGACTAATTCTAATGTAAATTCATCTGGATAATTGATACGTTTAGTTTCAGCCTTTTTCCAATTGATACTTTGGATTTTGTTGACATCTTCTGTAATATCTGGAAATTTCATAGTCTTGATTATCTCAAGTGATGCATTAAGATTCCTTAATTCTCTACGAAGATGAGTGAGACGTGATGAGCCAACATTAGTATTTTTTGCTAATAGAGCTAAGATATAAGCTTCAGCTCTTATATCTCTAATACTAAGTTTATCTTGTAAAATCTATTGCACCATATCTCTAATAGTTTCTTCCTCTATTTCTTTTGAGGATTTGTTGGAAATCACAATATTTACATTTTTATCTGAGGTAGTTACATTATGGCTACTTCCGTTTTTCTGGATTGAGAGGTGATGTAAGTCACTTTGCAAAGTAAATAAGGTATTTACTTGATCTTTACTAAAGTCATATCTATTCTATAAGATTTGTTTAGTTATCTCTCTGATAATCTCCTCTTCCAAATCTTTTGGGGGTGAAGCTATAACTATTTTGCAACTGTTCTCGATAACATTTATAATCTTGATCTTACTACTTCTCTGATTAGATATTAATATACTTACCTGATTATTGCTAAATTTAAAACCATCTCGAAGACATTATCGACCTTGATTTTGCTTTCTATCATCGGTAAGGTTTTCAAGAAATTCTGAGATATATTTACTGAGCTCAGATACACTCATCTCATTGTTGAGATTATATTTTTTAATGATTTTAGTTACAATAGTTGACATGATCTAATATTAAGTAGGTTATGAATAATTTTTTAGGTTATTTACACTATAAAAAATATTTTTTCAAATTGAAATTAATTATCTGCAAATAGCTATACCCAAAAATTAAATAGATTGTAGTTATTATAATTCTATCGGAAAATAGATGTGAACAAGATATGGAATAGATTGAAGAATTTAATCTATATATGCCAGATATATGATACACATCAATGTCTTGGATCAGATCTGTCAATTTGAAAGTTATCAATATATAGGATATAACAAAAAAAAATTTATAGCTTCGAGTTGTGGTAACTCAGGCTATATTAACATCATTTGGTACTATATTTATTTTTTATGTGTCAAAGACACTAGCTTTGCTATAATGCTTGGAATAGATTCTGGTATTTTTCTATACTTATAGACCATTTCTTGTAAATATTAGATCTATTTTCCATTATATCAATTAGTGGTATCATAGCTGGATGGGACAGAGC